GACCAGCTCAAGAAATTCAGTTTCTAGGAGTCAAGTGGCAAGATGGACATCGTCAGATCCCGACAGAAATAATTGACAAGATCACCGCTATGTCTCCACCTACCAACAAGAAGGAGACACAAGCTTTCCTAGGTGCCGTAGGCTTTTGGAGGATGCACATTCCCGAGTATAGCCAGATTGTGAGCCCTCTCTACCTGGTCACCCGAAAAAAGAATGATTTCCACTGGGGCCCTGAGCAGCAACAAGCCTTCACTCAGATCAAGCAGGAGATCGCTCATGCTGTAGCCCTTGGCCCAGTTAGGACAGGACCAGAGGTCAAGAACGTACTCTACTCTGCAGCCGGGAACCATGGTTTGTCCTGGAGCCTTTGGCAGAAGGTGCCTGGGGAGACTCGGGATCGACCACTGGGATTTTGGAGCTGGAGCTACAAAGGCTCTGAAGCAAACTACACTCCCACAGAGAAGGAAATCTTGGCTGCCTATGAAGGAGTTCAAGCTGCCTCAGAAGTAATTGGCACTGAAACACAGCTGCTTCTGGCACCCTGACTACCAGTGCTGGGGTGGATGTTTAAAGGAAAGGTTCCTTCTACACATCATGCCACTGATGCCACATGGAGTAGATGGATTGCCCTCATCACTCAGCGTGCCCGTATTGGAAATCCGAATCGTCCTGGGATTCTGGAAATTATAACAAACTGGCCTGAGGGGGAGACTTTTGGATTGTCTTCTGAAGAAGAGGAGCAAGTGGCACGTGCTGAGGAGGCCCCACCATATAATGAGCTACCAGAAACTGAAAGACAATATGCCCTTTTTATGGATGGTTCCTGCCGAATCATAGGCACTAGCCGGAAATGGAAAGCTGCAGTGTGGAGCCCCACACGACAAGTGGCACAAGCTACTGAGGGACAAGGTGGATCAAGTCAGCTTACAGAGCTTAAAGCTGTCCAGCTAGCTTTAGATATTGCTGAGCGAGAGAAGTGGTCGAGGCTCTATCTCTACACCGACTCATGGATGGTAGCTAATGCTCTCTGGGGATGGCTAAGTCGCTGGAAAAAGGCTAACTGGCAGTGCAGAGGGAAACCCATCTGGGCTGCCGAGATCTGGCAGGACATTGCCTCCCGAGTAGAGAAGCTGACCGTGAAGATTCAACACGTGGATGCACACATACCCAAGAGTCAGGCTACTGAGGAGCATCACAACAACAAACAGGTAGACCGAGCTGCCAAAGTAAAAATATCACAAGTAGACCTAGATTAGCAGCATAAAAGAGAACTATTCCTAGCTCGTTGGGCCCATAACGCTTCTGGTCATCAAGGAAGAGACGCAACATACCGATGGGCACGAGACCGAGGGGTGGACCTTACTATGGACATCTCACGACTGCGAGACCTGCGCTGCAATCAAACAGGCCAAACGGATGAAGCCTCTGTGGTACGGTGGACAATGGTTGAAATACAGGTATGGGGAAGCTTGGCAAATTGACTACATCACGCTTCCCCAAACCCGACAAGGCAAGCACTATGTACTGACCATGGTGGAAGCAACCACAGGATGGTTGGAAACCTACCCTGTGCCTCATGCCACTGCCCGGAACACCATCTTAGGCCTTAGGTCTTGTGAAGACACGGCACTCCTGAGAGAATTGAGTCAGACAATGGAACACATTTCAAGAATGGCCTCATCAACACCTGGGCCAGAGAACATGGGATTGAGTGGATATATCATATCCCCTATCATGCTCCAGCTGCCGGGAAAGTTGAACGATGTAATGGACTGCTTAAGACCACCCTAAAGGCACTCGGTGGGGGAACTTTCAGGAATTGGGAACTGAACTTGGCAAAAGCTACCTGGATAGTCAACACCCGAGGGTCCATCAATCGAGCTGGTCCTGCCCAATCTGAACCCTTGCAGACAGTGGATGGAGATAAAGTCCCTGTGGTACATATGAAAGGTATTTTAGGAAAGACTGTTTGGATTAATCCCACCCCAGGCAAAGACAAACCCATCCGTGGGATTGTTTTTGCTCAAGGACCCGGTTATACTTGGTGGGTAATGCAGAAGGATAGGAAAACCCATTGTGTACCACAGGGAAACTTAGTCTTAAGTGAGAACTATGTGTAAGGTTTCATCATGATGAAGATGGAAATAGGAAAAGGGGTGGATAATGTCCAAAATTAAAAAAAAAAAAAAAACGTTTTCCAATTACCATCTGAGTAGGAGTTGCCTTGGGGCAGTTTTCCTTATCTGCTGTTAATGGCCCCATCAATGCCTGGCCACATGACTCAGAGATAACACTGTCCAGGAGGAGGAGGTGATTAAGGACACACCTTGTGACTCATAATAACCCATTGTAAGATGCTCTGCCCAAGGGGAGGAGCTAGGCATTCCCACCTGGATAAAAGTGGAGATTTCTACACAGAGGGGAGCCTTTTCACAGGTTCTCCAAGAAGATACAGCAACTACATCTGCCATCCCAAGACGACTGCAGCTCGTCCAATTTGGACTGCTAGCAGCACGCTGGCCAGGTTGTATTCTGACTTTGTCAGTAGCCTTTCCCTTTGTATTATTGCATGTATTTTTGTCCTTTTCCCCTTTTCCCAATAAATTGTATTTCTGACTTGGAGTCTCTCACTGGTTTTACTTTCAAACCAGAACACAGTATAAGGAAATCTTTGAATCATAAAAACAGGAATAAACCTCTGTATCCAATTTTAGAATAATTTTAATTCAAATTGCTCAGCTGATCAGAAATATGGAGAGCAGAAATGACATGATAACAGTATTTGTGAATTTTTATATATTTAATACAGAATTCACTGTCTATTTTCTACTAATTATCATAAATTACTAAGAAATTAGTCTAAAGGCCACAAAATCACTACAACAGAGAGAAGACCTACTAGAACAAAGTGCTCATAGTATTCTACATGAAAACACCCAGAAATCTTGAGTCAAACAAACAGTCAAAAGTTTCTTATGCTGATTGATGACTTCATGAGCTCTGTTTAGTTAATTTTGCTTGCCTACTTAAAGTCTTGGGTCTGCTTATCAGCATGCTTCCTTAACTTTCCCCTTTGCTGTCCTGAATACAAAACCACAGAGGTAGCTGTTGGGTTTTCTGCTTATTTTGTTATATATTAGAAGAGCTGAGACCCTTGGGCTTCCATATGAATCTAAGAAGCACTGTCAAACAATAAGACTCCCTACAAGCAGGGGTATCTGCTTTTTGTCCTACCATGAAGATTCATATACATTTCAAGTCCCAGCTGGGAAACAGTTTGAGGCATCCCAAGAACACGGAATAGCTTACAACTTTCAGACTAATACTTCTGAGCACAGCTTTCATCCATTACAAAGTAAAAGCCAAAAAAATTGAAAACCACAGTAATAGGTATTGAATTGTTCCTAATGAACAAATATGTACTCTATATACGTACAATAAGAGCGAAGTCCTTACATCTCTCCCATAGTTTTTGCTCGGTATATAGCATGTACTGAGCCTCTGATAACTGAATTTCTACCTAAACTTCACAAAATCCCCCTTTGGTAATATAAATACAAAATATGTAGTTCCAGCAAACATTCCCAATGAGAACACAAACACTCATGTACAAACAGTATCTTTTAACTAAACAAGGACTTCAATTTAACCTGTAACTATTCCACAAACAGGCTATTTTAAGTTGTCCAAAGAAGAGTAAAACCAGCCATAAATTTGTACTCACGTCAGCGAAATTGCCACTCCTTACATAACTAAATTCTGCAACTCTTCCATCTGTGCTGAAAGAACAGTGGATGAAACAATATTAAAAACACATCCTTACTGTAAAATAAAAAAACTTCTTGGCAATAAGGAATATTGATAAGCCACTAAACAAACTTCAAAGAAACAGCTACTCAGAACAGGCTAAAAGGTGTCCGTTAAATTATAAACAAATAACAACTACAATCACAAAATACAAACCAAAGTCTTCACTAATCCTACGGAAGTAAGTGAAAAGTTACTGGAATTTCCAAAACTGTGAAACAATGATATTTCAATACATGCTGTTTATTTCTGATGATGACAAACTGATATTTAAAGTTACTACTGCAAATTATGAATGCCCACACACAGAACTATAAAGAAATGATGCAATTCTAACAACAGATATGCTAAATTAAATCATATATGCCTTTCACTATGCACCCAATATGTACTTTAACGTCTATGAATGCACACAAAACTCAGCAATGTCCTGCCCAAAAGAATAAGGATGCAAATGCATCTTCAAGTAATGTTACTAGTAAAAAAAAAAACCCAATTAAAGAAATAAAAAAACACAACTTCATCCAAAGTTAAAAGTATGAGAACTTTATTTCACAAAAGGAAAGTTTACACAGAAATGTATAAAATTTTTTATTAGGATAAAAAAGTATTACAAAGAAATTAGTAAAAGAATTTTGAGTTACCATATGTGACTTTCTTCTCTTTAATATGCTGAACATTTTAATGGCTATTTCATTTAAATCTAAGTAATATGATTAATTAAGCATTTTGTATAATGGAATGAGTAAGAGTTAGAAATTATTAAGGTTTAAGATGAAAAGAAGTTTAAACAGCCTTTTTAAGCTCTTGGCAGAATTCATGGACTTGGTAAAGCTTTTCCCTGCATGGCCCTGGGAGCCAAACATTTTCCATGGAAAAAAGACTGCTTGCTTATACTATCTGAGGCTGGCACAGAAAAAAAATGTAGCTGCCAAGGTTACATTTACCCAAAGAACATTCAGCCTGCTCAAGTGCAAGTTAACAGCTCAAGAGGTCAGCAAGAGTGTACCTTGAACAGCTGAGATCTTATATAAAGGTAGAATACAGATGTCATTTGAAAGCTGGCAAAAATTACTCATTACTTAGAACATATCTAATGTCAGATAAAGAGGCTCACCCCACAATAACGTTTGCATGAAAGGACAAAAATACTCTGAAAAAAGAAAAGAGCACATTGTGTATTCCCTCAAAAGTGACATTTTTCCCCTCAGCCTACAGTGAAAGTGAATTGTAGTTCATCATACTGAAAGACAAAAACAAATGCAGACTACCCTAGGCTTTAGCAGTTTACTTTGCAAAGTAAACTGGATGTTTTTTTACTGATTTTTAACAGGAGCAAGCTCAGGAACACTGACAAAAGATAAGCCACTAACAAACATTATAAGGCATAATGAGCTACCGCACAAGTATTTGCTTTCCAAGTGAAGCTGTGAATTTATAAACATGAGCAGAAATCAAAAAACTAAGAATGCCTCTGACTTCCAAGCAGGGAAAGAAAAATATCCTTATTCAAAACATTTTACCTTCCTTTTGGAAGGGAATTCCAAGCATCACTATTTCACTGGCTATTTGATATCATAAATACCTAAAACTGCATAATATTGCAGTTATTTCTTCAATGGAAACATAGAACCATTGAATCTTTTGAGTAGTTTTATACAGCTTTATCAAGAAGAATTACCTGACATCTTTTTTCTGAAGTAATTACACTGAATTTACTAAAGCAAAACTTTTAAATTGGTGGTGAAACAAATATCAAAAGCATAAGCAGTATCTTCTTTTTTTTTTTTTTAATGTCACAGAAACTATACACTTATAACAGTTTGGGTTTTACATTTACAAGTAAGTTTAGTTTTTTGTATAGATGTATATCGTGCATTGTGTTGAAAACAAGGATAAACTGAAAAACTCCCCCCTTTAACATAAATTCATACATCAAGCATCCCTGTTACCTCCAATTTTAAATCAGTACTCTTTTTGATGTTTCACTGTATTTATTTCTAAGCATGTTAATTACTATTAAGTGTTCCTATCATACCTTAAATCTTTACAGCATTACAAAATATTATTCACTAATTATTATTCATCTTCTCAAATCTAAAAGACAATGCCCTCAGAGCAGAAAAAGAAAACATAAGCCCCAACCTCTTCACACTCAATCCAAACAACCTCTTCTGCACCCCCACCTCTCCAATCATCACTATGAAAATACAGGACACAAACTCTCATTTTAGTTCTTTAATCAGTACATATCCCAAAGTGGGAAAGCAAAGCAGATGGGAGGACAGAAAGAGCTATTGTTTACTGTTAATTTTTAATAAGAACTCTGTAATAATTACATACCCATAATTTTCTGTATTATGAATTGATTATTTCAAAACACATGATTGTCAGACTGGAAAAATTTGCATGGAAATCAAAACACTACATGGCATGGGGCATGAGGGGGAATGCAAAAAAAAACCTGGCTGGCTGGTATAAGCACTGAAAAACCTGCAAGAAAATTTTGTCTATGGATTGTTCTTGGCTCCCCAGACATCTAGGATAGATTAGTACACTTCCAACTAAACAACTGAAATCTTTTATCAAGCTGACATATACACTTCACATGCAAATAACAAGACCTGTTTCTTTCTTGATGTCTCGCAAGATTTTTAAACTTACACTGCTGCATACTGTCAGTTCAGACTCTCTTGACCCACTATGCCAGTGCTTCTTTATGTTTTCCAGTCACATACTACATTCCTGAATAAGAGGTATTCTCATTATAACCATGTCCTGCTGAGTAGTCACAACAAAAATGCTCTTATTCTTTAGCAAATCTATCTGTGAGGTGCTGTGCTTTTCAACAACCTGAAAAGTCACCAGAAGACTGATCAGTAACTCACAAGAAGACTTAGAACCTTAGACATACCAGGCTCTTAAAATAATGCTGTGTTATTTTCAATTTCACAGAAGTCACTCACAGACAGTATGCACTGTTAACATCTAATTATCAGGTAGAAATTTGTAAGAGGGCTGTAGGTGACTTGACCAGACTGTTTTTTTTAACAGACATCAGCAGCAAACAAGAGCATTTTCACCTGTCCCCTCAATTCCTTAATGTTGCAGTATAAGCGAGACACAAGCAACATGTAAATAGATCATAGTAAAAAAAAAGTTCCATGTATATTTCACGCATACTTTCTGTTCAAAGAAATTACTGTTATATTGTCTCTCTGTTATATATCCTGTATATTGGTAGCTCTCACAACAAACATATGTTTGATTCAAATAGGACAATGTAGTATACTGCTTTACCTAACACTTGTAGGTAAATATACATCCACACACACCCTCAAACACACACTCCCTTAGAAACTGAATCCTTACTCATTACTGAACGCAAACAGGCACAATAAAAATAATATAGTGTCGTTGTTACAATGTTGATGCCCTAATAGTGCTCCAAGCAAAAGTACCACCCAACTTACACTAAAGATGCTGTCCTTACATGTGATTTAATCAGCATACTCTCAGATTAGTTCATCAACATAACAAAAAGACAGCAATGCACTTAACTGAGTAATTTCATTATATATTCTTTATTGGCATAAATAACTGACTTATTGTGGCATCAACTGGCAAGAAATAAAAGCTACTTCTTGGTCATGGCATAGTAAAAAAATTAACATCACTGACGGCAGATCAGTACCACCATAGGAGGTAAGAAGTTACTAGATAGACATGGACCTATCACACACAATGCCACCCTCACTGAACAGCAAAATGGAAATTTCTTCTTCAGTGAGCACATGGGATACTCTGTTTCCCTTCATTCACTAGAACAGCCTTTTACTGGCAGTTGCTTTTTTCTGAGTACTCAGTATTGGAGGTACTTGATGAATGTAGGAAATATTTTCAAAAAGGAGAAAACATGAGAAATCGAAAGCTTTCTTTTAAACCCCTTCGACATTAAGGATAGGATAAGTGAGATGCCAGCTTTCATTTCAAGCTATAACATTTAAAACTAATTCAATTAAAACTAACTGCAGTCATAGAAGTAATTTACACAGAAGATGCACAGACGTGGGTGGGATATGAATTTTCCAAGTCACATAATTGCCTTCTGTAAGCACTACAACTCAGAGTTATTGTAACAATTCTATCACTTACTTAAGAGTACAGGATAATTTAAAAGCTTCAGCACAGCTCTTAGAGTTAGTTTTGTTTAAATATAATGCTCTGGATCAATATAATCATAATGCACTTGTGATTTTTTAATCCATTCAAGAATACAGGAATGCATAAATAATTTTATTTTACAGACAATATAACCATATACATGCATTTGGGTATATTCCCTCTGTATTACCATGAGTAACCAAGTGCAATTTGGGTCCATTATTTCAACTGTGCCTGAAATGGCATTGTTCTATTTTCCAAATCCTGTGGACAAATAGGAGAATACCTGCATACCTTTTAAGCTGTGAGCTAAACTTCATATAGTTGAAACAGCACACTCTCCATAACAGCAAAGAACAAGAACACTATCTGAAATCATTCTTCAAGAACAGCATACCTCCTTCCCAAATCAAGATAGTTACATGGGAAAAATAGAAAAATCCAATCATTCTCCTCCATGCTGAATCTGTAACAACATGGTAAACACAGACATCACAGTGTGTTTTAGAGGCCTCCTTACTGCATTTGGAAAAAGTACAAGAGCCTAAACCTCTGCACTGCAACTCCCTTTATTGACAAAAGCAGTGGTTTGTTGTTCGCATAACAGATATTTTTTGCATTCATGTCTATCTGACGGCAGACGAACAAAGTTCCCACTGACTGGAAGAAAGGGAATTTCATGTCTTTTTTAAAAAAGAGTAAAAAAGATCATGGGAACCACCAATCTGCAAGCATTATTATATTGTACAGTAAAATCATGTAGCAGGTCCTTCTGGAAGCTGTGCATCTTAGCTTACAATGTAAGATA